CAGTATTTCTGGAGAAGTGTGAAAACTGCTCACTTGTATTCGCATGTCAGCAGGTACACTTCTAGTGTAGCTTCGTATACCATGCACTGCTTTTGATTTATTTTATTTTCAACGCGTGCTGGTGGTGGGTGGTGGTGGTGGGGGTGGTGGTGGTGATGGTGATGGTGGTGGTGATGATGATGATGGTGGTGGTGGTGGTGGTGGTGGTGGTGGTGGCGATAGTGTGGGCGTTTGTTGTGGTGCTTGTGGTGCTGGCGTTGGCGCTGGTGGCACAGGGTAAGGGAGTGCAGGCGCAGTACTTCTGCATAATATATGGCAATGTCTGTTCGTTCATCGTCCATGTTGTGTGCTCAGCTATCCTGTACCGTGTAACGTGTAGCTGTACACCGGCAACTGTTGAAATGTGGTTTCCGGAAAAAATTCTGATGTTGCTTTTTAAAACAGACACCTTTCCCCTGATTTGGGTCCTTTTTCTTGTTTTTCTTGTTTTTCTTGTTCATTTGTTTTGATCGTCAAACCCGTTTTTGCATATTCATGCCCAGTCCTCGTGTCCATCGTTGTAATAACTCGCGTTGCGTATGCAATTATAATTCAATGATTAATTTTTTTTCTTTGCATGTTGCCACTGCTAGATGAGGATGCACGAGTCTACGTCGTGTGATGTCTACCTGCACGTCACGAGCCGTGCCATCATCGAGGACTGCAGTGCCATCCGGGTAGCGCCGTACAACTACCTGTACGAGCAGCTTTCCGATCACTTCGAGGTGAGGCATGCTGATGCTTCTGCTACTGCTGCTGCTCTGTGTGTGTGTGTTGTGGGTGTGTGTGTTGTGGGTGTGCGTGTGCGTGTGCGTGCGTATTGCCAGCTGTCTGTGCGTTTTGGTGTGGCACATCTAACACTTGGCCAGATGTGGAGACACCCTGTTCAATCTTTCCAAACATCTCTTTCTTTCCTTTAATTCTCTTCCACATCCAGGCATCTATTAGTTTTGGTTTGGAGTACTATGATTATGGCCTTTTATTGGTACAATGTACCTGAACTCTGATTTGTTTCTCATGTTGTTTAACCATGTTCTATTGCAGCTGTCTGGCTTGAACCGCCAGTGCAACAACTGGCAGTCGGTGGACGACTTCAAGTGGCTGAGCAGCACGACGCCCTCGCCGAACTGGAGCGTTCTGCCGGAGAGCAAGCGCAGCATCAGCTGGCGTACACCGCCGGCCGACCGCTCACCCTCCAAGCAGTGAAGCACACTACTATCGGCCGCCACCGCTGCTGCATCTTGTCAACCCACAATTTGTTTTGCAATACTGTTGCCTGGAGTGTGTGGCCAGGGCTTGGGCTATAGCGCTAGAGCCTTTCAGATTATCCCCATTTTTTATCAGACAGGGTTTCTTAGAACACAGTTGAGCCGTCACAGGAGAAAAGTTGCCCGTTTGCAAGCTGATTTTGCAGATCGAATCCCCCCCCCCCCCCCACACACACACACACACCTTCGACACTGCCACTGTGGCACACACTAAATAGCTAGCTGGTATTGTGAACAGCGGGGACGTCTCTCAACGACGCTGGCAACTCCTCTTGATGGCGCTGCATAGTTGACGTGAACTTCCTCGAAAGAATGCAGAAGTTAAACTTATTTCTCCAATCTCCCGACAGCTAGCTAAATAGCTACCTTATTACCTTCTTATATTTTTATGAGCGGTCAAAAGTTCCCGTATTTCTTTTCCGACGCCGTATTGCAAGCGGACCTGTTCGAGCCGGCAACTTGAAATCCTACTTCAAAAATAAGTATATGAGTAGACTTTTCGGTGGAGAAACTTGGTCAATTGGAAGCTGTGCTAGCCTGCTTGGACCATGCATTGTCCTGCTGCATTCCATGCCTTGTGCCCATGATAATCTGAAAGGCTCTAGCGCTATAGCCCAAACCCTGGCCACACACTCCAGGCAACAGTGTTGCAAAAAAAATTCTCTCATTCTCTCAACTGCGCTGGCAACTCCTCTTGATGGCGCTGCATAGTTGACGTGAACTTCCTCGAAAGAATGTCAAAAGTTCCCGTATTTCTTTTCCGATACCATATTGCAAGCGGACCTGTTCGAGCCGGCAACTTGAAATCCTACTTCAAAAATAAGTATATGAGTAAACTTTTCGGTGGAGAAACTTGGTCAATTGGAAGCTGTGCTAGCCTGCTTGGACCATGCATTGTGCTGCTGTATTCCATGCCTTGTGCCCATATATTTCGCTGCATTCTTCTCCTGGGCTGGGCCCCTATTCTTTTGTGGTGCTTCTGCAAGAGCGTTGCTTGATTGATCTCGCCTATATCTGACCGCTGGGAGAAAGTCCTCACTGGTACGCCCGTTCTGCTGTTTGCGGCTTATCCCTTCTGTGTTGTTTTTTATCTGCTTGACATTCTCCTGCTTGTTCCAGCTCATCATCCGCTGGTGAAGTAGCAGTGCATGTACATCATGGGATAGTATTTATGATTTTTGAAGTTTTTTCAACTCTGTGTTCTTTGGCACACTAGTGATGGCATACAAATACATTGTATACGTCTGTACATGCACCAGAACTGTTTACCCCGCTGGTCACAAACTGGCGGTTGCTTTCTTCTTCTGGGTGCGTACACTCTTCTAAAGAGAAAAGTCCTCTCGCAAGAGCCCAGGACTCTGGCAAAATTTGGAGAAGTGTTCATATTATCTTTTCAAGATTCCCCAAAGCTCTGCGAACTTCGGAGGTGGGTGAAACTTGGATACCCCCCCCCTAGGCCCTCCCCGCGTTTATGGATCTATGCATGTGGCTGGCTACTACGATACACCTGTTTCCAATCGCGACCAAAAACAGGTCATGTGGCATGTCCATGCCTCTCGTTTCTTTGTCTTCGAGGGAAGACGTCTCCAACCAGCGGAAACAAAATGTGCAAGTCAGTCTCAGTCAGGGTGGTAGGACAAGCTGTCAGGAATCCATTGTGATAGTGAATATCTAGCAAACAGTTCTTTGTTTCCTGTGCCATCGGACTCTGGCACTGGATGCATCTGAACAGCTGGGAGTCCAGGCGCACACACGCACTAGCACGTGCACGCGCCCGTCTGTGCGGCACAGGACAGAATTATTCTGCCCCCTCCCCCCCTCTCTCGTGTACGTTGTTCAAGTATCTAACGATCGTGGCAGTGAGTGTGAGTGTGAGAGAACCAGGGAGTCGTAAAATACCTATTTTACGACTCCCAAGAGAGAACAATGCGAGACAAATACAATGAACAGTAAAACCTGTCGAGGCGACCATCCGGATAGGGTGACCCCCTGTCCTGGAAGACCACCAAAACCAGGATCAGGGGATGCTATTTCCAGTCAAATGACCCTGGATAAGGAGACCACGCGCGCGTGTTCAGAGTTCCTTGAGCAGTCGTCGGGGGACAGGTTCACTGTATGTGTGCGGCATGGCACAGCTTCATGTCATCGATCCTGAACTAGCAGGAGATACGTGCATGTACATGTAGGCTGTGGCAAGAGAATAATAATAATAGTTACAGTTCGCATGCCACTCATGGAAGGATCCATGGGCTTAACGCAACTGTCAACGAAATCCAGGCAGAAGAGCCGACAAAAGGCATCTCATTATTGTTAGAACGTATCGCAGTAAGAACAACTACGCAAGAGACGCTAGAGAACAAAACTGTCAGTATAGTCAGGGAGCCAAGTCCAACGGTGTGGTTCTAAATGGAATTTTTCTTCCAATCTTTGCACAACCTAAACAACTGACGTCAGGCCGTGTGGGCAACAGTACCTAGTAGGTTATTATAAAAAAGTTCATTTCAAGTTTACTAGAGTATCAATGGAGGTGCATCAGGGTTCAAGATGCTGTGTCTAAGTTCACGCAAGTTATAGCGGAGTTTGTAAGTTACGATACGCATGCTTCAAGTTCAAGGGTCTCCCACTTCAACCCCCCCCCCCCCCCCACACACACACACATACGCATAATACTAGCCCGGCTAAACTTGGGAATCACGCTCCTGCATCGAGGTGTCGTCGTCAGCCGGCCCACGTGCATGGCGGACGGAAGCTACCGCGTGGCCGCTTGCATTGGACGAGGTCCCCTGTGGTGCCAGTTCCACGGCCGACTGGGCATCCATAGCATCCGCATTGGTAAGAGACTGCTGGTCACTGGCGGTGGTCGGCTTGACACGGCGAGAGCGGCTGCGCAGTGTACTCACATGCTTCCAGCGCTCCACGACCGAGGTAAGCACGTCACTTTCGGCCACTAGTTCCGTGGGATCAGCGTTGATGATGGTGGCTCTGCGACCGGTGCGCGGTTCGGCGAGCAGGTCCTCGGTGCTGGCGTTGACGCACACGTGGGAGCTCTCCCTCTGCGCCTTCTCGTGAGCGTTGCTGACGATGGAGATGATCAGCGTGAGCAGCACGAACGCGGAGAGGAACGTGAAGACGATGTAGAGGCCGATGGTCCAGTCGCGGGCGCGGAACAGCTCGTCCGTCACCTCCAGCTCGCCGATCATGCCCAACCACAGGGTGGTGATGGTGTTGGGTATGTCGTGAAACGACCGCGCGTCCACGCTGAAGATGTAGTAGAACATGAGTACAAAGCCGGAGAAGATGACCAGGAAGGAGATGGAGAAGGAGAAGAGGCTCGGCGCCGAGAACCACAGCGTCCGCACCATGATGCCCAGGGACTTGAGGCGCACCAGGAAGCGGAGGCTGCTGAAGACGTGAATGAAAATGGAGATGGCCAGGAAGCGACGGCTCTGCGTCTCGACGAACGCGAACGGCAGAAACTCGCTCTTCGGCGCCAGTGTGCTGAGCAGTCCTTCGGCCGAGTTCTCCTCCAGGCCTGCGAACGGTGGCTGTCGCGCAGCGTTGAATGTGCACTCTAGCAAGTCAAAGGCGAGCAGCTGATAGGCCCAGGTCACGCACAGCAGCACACCCCAGAGTGCAGCCATCCAGTTGAACGGCCGCTTGACGTGCTCCTTCCAGTCGTTGCACAGGCCACGCACTGCCAGGAACGTGGTGTAGACCATGATCGCAAACACGCTCTGGTAGAACACCTTAATGTACTGGCCCGGCTCGCTGCGGGGACACGTGCCGTTCCCGTTCATCGCCCGCTGGATCTGCTCCGGGGACGTCAGGTCGATGGCTCGCGCACTCTGTGAAGCGTTCGGACACCCCGACAGGCTTCCGCCGCCTGTTAGCGACTGGTCGTTTTGTGCGTGATCAAAGTGGTTCAGATAGACTTTGGGCTGCGACGCGGTGAACCTTCCCATGACGTCGCGCTCGACGAGAAACGTGGCCGCCGCCCACACGGGGCTGTCGATGAAATCGATCGACGTCAGAGCCAGCTCCACGACCACGGCACGTGTCTGCTCGTCAATCCAGGCGCTCCGCCGCATGGCATCCAGGTGACGCAGCGCCGTGTCGCGTCGTATTCCCGGCGCAAAGTACGTCGAGAAGCCGGCGAGAGGGTAGTCAGAGAACTTGCCGGATAGTGACTGCGACCTCAGGTTCATCAGGTACCCGGTGGTGGCGATAGACGGACGGTCCGAGTACGAGAAAGTCAGATTCTCGCCGTAGTCCTCTCGGCTTTCGTAGCGCTCGCTGAACATCGGATAGCAGACGTCGGCAACACTCGGGAACAGCACCTGCATGAACTCCGAGCAGCAGACTGGCATGACGCGGTACTGCCGCAGCTTGAGGCTGGTCAGCAGGGCGAGGCGTGTGGGCGGCATAGGCCTGCTGACCAGACCCCGGGCCGTGTCCGAACTGTACACGGTCGACACCACGTGCCGCAGCCACGTCCACGTGTGATCCGGCGTGCTGATGCGCCGAAAGATGTTGACTCCCGGAGCGCTGGTGTCCTCCTGAAATACGTCGCGAATGCCAGAGTTGACTGTGTAGAAGTCACCACCGACAATCACCGTTCTGTTGACAGCCACGAAGTACCCTATCGTTTGCAACACATAGATAAACATCTCTACGTAGATCAGATAGCGGGGCCAACGCCAGAATACTCGCAGGAGAATGAACGGTGCGCCGATCAGCGCTCCCAGCGGCATCCACTTCACGTGAAAGCTGGGCCTGGAGCCAGGCGCGTACAGGAAATGCTCGATGATTGCTCCGCCGGCCGCTGCCAATCCAGGTATGATAATCAGCACCATGATACAATGATGCAGGACCCAGCCACGGCCATAGCCGTTCAACCATGGCAAGCGATGGCGTTTTCCACTCGTCCCGCTTGACGATGAGGTCGACGCAGCGTCGGAAAACCTTCCGTTCATTGCTATCGATTAAAAGGTTCACGCTGCGGGACCATACCTATCCTTCCCCGCTACATGGACTTGCACTAATAGAATAAGTAAACTGTTGGCAGCGACGCTTTTACTCGACGTCAACCATGGTCAACCTCCAGCCCACCTTCACCAACAAGTCGAAGAGGTAGTTTGCTTGGTCCGCGAAAGGACCGGGACGACAAATCGTTCCATCGATCATCCATTCAAATTCTGGGCAGTATTATTATTTTTTTAATTTTGTGAGCATGACACGTAGATCCACTGGTACTGTAGAGTGTGGTAAATTCCATCTACTAATCATGTCATGATTGTACAATGATCACACAGCAATGAAGGAAACACATCTTTTTCCGCCGTTACTCGGAGTTTCGTACATGACATGATGTATGGAATCGAGCATGAGTACGAGGACGAAAGTGCGGAATCGGAGCCCGACGCGCGCTAGCGCGGAGGGCTCCGATTCTAGCACTTGAGTCCGAGTACGAATGCTTTGAAACAATTTTCTGACATGCATTGCACGAACTACTTCGTACTACTAGTACTACTACATGTAGTACTTCACACATACCTAGTACCTACTCAAGGCACGCACACTAGACCAGACAAGGAACACAACTAGTCGCCAGTTTAGTACTTCAGACATGTTACATAATGACTAATGTACACAGTCACAACACAGAGATAAAACAAGGGCGGTCTAGTCAGCTAAAAACCAGGTCAGTTCAGCTTCTCTTCTTCGCAGTGACTACAGCCTACAGCCTACAGGTGCAGGTGAACATTGCAGTTTGCACCAAACTGAGCTCCGGAAAAGTTGATGGTCTTCGTAGCTTTCTGCATCAGAGACCGTTGGTGAGTTGGGGATTGCACTGTTGGGTCACAAGTTGCGATGTACTCATCAATGTCGGGATCGTGGAACTCAGTCTGCTGCTGTGATCGCTGAACGCTCGTTGTTGGCGCTGTAAGAGCACGGGTAGCAGCATTGGTTGCAGTTGGAGACTCTCCATCCAGAACTGCAGCCATCTCTTTTCTCTTTTGTTCTGAATTCCTGTTGGCATATGCGGTCAACGACTGGACCTGGCGATGTCCCGTCGTCCCCATGATCGCTGTCTCCGACAAAAAAAAAGCGGCCTCTGATGGCTGAATCGGAGCACGCCTAGGCGTGCTCCGATTCAATTGACGATTATACAAGGAACTCTGTTCTGATGTAT